TATATATATATACCATATATATATATATATATATATATATATACATATATATATGTATGTATATATGTGTGTATATATATATATATAAATAAATATATATACATATATATATATATATATATATATATATATATATGTGTGTGTGTGTTTGTGTGTGTGTGTGTGTGTATACACAAACACACACACACACATTTTTGTTCGCTTATTTGCTTGATCCTAACGCAAGCATCTGTGCGCCAAGCATCCCAAGCGCAGCTCCGACCCCGCAGCTTCGACGAGCGCCGCCTGCCTCCCGATCAGCTGACAGATAGCTCTAATAATAATGTAGTTAAAGGGACTTCAGAGCCTGTAAGTCGAGGCTGTTCCGTCCGGCTTCTCAATGGCATTGGCACTGTCCTGGCACTGTCCAGGCTCTGTCGAGGCACTCTCTCTTTTATGGCTCTTGGTGTGAGTGTTTTTTGTATTGCCTTTGGCTGGTGTTGTCTGTTGTTGTTTTTGTTATTATTGTTATTGTTATTATTATTATTATTATTGCTATTATTATTATTGCTATTGTTATTATTACTATTATTATTATTATTATTATTATTGTTACCATCATCATCGTCATCATCATCACCATCACCATCAGACACACAGACTCAAGCAAATACAAGAAAAAAAGAGAGAAATAAAATCAACAGAAATCAACAACAAAAATAATCCAACCTACAGACAAACACCGCACAAAGAAAAAGAGAAACAGACAGAAAGAGGAGAGAGCAAAAGTCCGAGCAGTTATGGTAGAGGACGGAGGCTAGTCCGAGAACACCAGATGCTCTGATGTAAGATTAATCTGCAGATGGACGGTGTACGGGAGGGGGAGGGAGACGGATGGGGGGGGAGGGAAAGGGAGGGGGAGGGGGAGTGGGAGAGGCAGACGAAGAAGGAGACGGAGGGTAGAGGGAAAGGGAGGGGGAGTGGGAGAGGCAGACGGAGAGGGGGTGGGGAGAGATAGAGAGAAAGGGAGGGGGAGTGGGAGAGGCAGACGGAGAGGTAGAGGGAAAGGGAGTGGGAGTAGGGGTGGAGGAGGCAGTCGGAGAGGAGGTGGGGAGAGGTAGAGGGAAAGGGAGGGGGAGTGGGAGTGGGAGAGGGAGGGAGAGATGGAGGAGGTGAGGTAGGGGGAGAGGGTGGGAGAATAGGAAAGGCAGAGGGAGGTGAGAGAGGGAGAGACAGTTGGACGAGGAGAGGTTGAGAGAGAGAATGATGGAGGAGGTGAGGGAGAGAGAAAAAGAGAGAAATGGAAAGGAAGAGAGAAGAGATGAAAAAGGGAATGAGGGGGAAGCGGAGGAGGAGAGGGAAAGCAGGGAAGGGGAGGAGAGGGAGAGTCAGGAAGAGGATTAGGAAAGGGAGAGAGGAAGGGACAGGGAGAGAGAGGGAGAAGGAGGAGGAGAAAGAAAGTGGAGAGGAAGGAGAAAAATGATAAAGAGGGAGGGGAAGGAGGAGGAGAGGGAGGGGGAGAAAAAAAGGAGAGAGGGGAGGAGGAGGAGAAAAAGGGAAGGGAAGGAGATGGAGAGAGCGAGGGAGAATGGGAGTGAGAACGGGAGTAGGTGAAGGAAGAGAGGAGGAAGGAAAAGGAGAAAGAGAGAGTGAAATTAGGAGACAGTTTTGGTTATTTACATTCCACGGATGAACTACGAATATTTTTATATGTATCCTTCTTCCCCCACCCTTCTCTCTCTCTCTCTCTCTCTCTCTCTCTCTCTCTCTCTCTCTCTCTCTCTCTCTCTCACTCACTCTCTCTCTGTCTCTCACACACTCTCTCTCTCTCTCTCTCTCTCTCTCTCTCTCTCTCTCTCTCTCTCTCTCTCTCTCTCTCTCTCTCTCTCTCTCTCTCTCTCTCTCTCTCTCTCCTCTCTCTCTCTCTCTCTCTCTCACTCTCTCTCTCTCTCTCTCACTCTCTCTCTGTCTCTCACTCTCTCTCTCTCTTCTCTCTCTCTCTCTCTCTCTCTCTCTCTCTCTCTCTCTCTCTCTCTCTCTCTCTCTCTCTCTCTCTCTCTCTCTCTCTCTCTCTCTCTCTCTCTCTCTCTCTCTCTCTCTCTCTCTCTCTCTCTCTCTCCCTCTCTCTCTCTCTCTCTCTCTCTCTCTCTCTCTCTCTCTCTCTCTCTCTCTCTCTCTCTCTCTCTCTCTCTCTCTCTCTCTCTCTCTCTATTTATCTATCTATCTATCTCTCACTCTCCCTGTCTCTCTCTCTCTCTCTCTCTCTCTCTCTCTCTCTCTCTCTCTCTCTCTCTCTCTCTCTCTCTCTCTCTCTCTCTCTCTCTCTCTCCGCCGTTTCCCTTCTCCCTTCCAGACTTGGCGCATTACACTTAATATCCCTTCCCCTTTACCCACAAGAAACACGTCATTATCCAAAAATAAACACGCCATCTAAATGAATAACTATCAAATAAAAACTTCTTTCTAGCTCATGCGACCGCGGAGGCCTCGCTCGTGTTCTGCAAGATCGTGCCAATCCCAGCGCGGTATTAATCAACCAATCCGATTACCGAGACATGCTGACGTCACAATTCTCTGTGTTCTGATTGGTCGGTGTCCTACATCAATGGGATATTCGGGCGCCATTTTTTTTTCATGTTCCCGGATTTCAATACTACTGATGATGAATGAGTTTCGTTTCTTTTTTTTTTCTTTTCTTTTCGTTTCTTTTCTTTGCTTTTTTTTGTGGTGAGGATTCAGTACATGGGGTGTTTACTTCATCTTGAGTGGTTAGGGTTAATGAGCATGATGATTATCACTATACTTATGTCTTTAATAAGCATTTTCAGGCTTCGTTTCGCTAATGAATCTCCCATGAAAGAAAATGCGAATAGTTACTAGTCTGTCTTGCCGATTGTTTTTTCGTCGCATTAATGCAATGAGAAATATTATTTATTATATTGTCTTTCAAGAACATGGTACTCCAGAATGGGAGAGAAGAATGAAAATTGTTGTAATAAAACATAACGAAACTGCTCAAAATGGCGCGGAACGGAACGATATCAAATGCATCGAAGTTTACTCCGTTTCGGTTTATTTCGTTTTGTTTCGGTTCGCTTGGAACGAGACGTAGAAATATAAAAAAAAATCACTAACATGAAATCAAAGCAAAACAGGACGAAAGTTTACGAAAAAAAATATATAT